ATGTGAGTGACGGGGGGCAGAGGGTAGGCGGAGCTCAGGCGGTGATGTGAGTGACGGGGAGCAGAGGGTAGGCGGAGCTCGGGCGGTGATGTGAGTGATGGGAGGCAGAGGGTAGGCGGAGCTCAGGCGGTGATGTGAGAGACGGGGGCAGAGGGTAGGCGGAGCTCGGGCAGTGATGTGAGTGACGGGGAGCAGAGGGTAGGCAGAGCTCAGGCAGTGATGTGAGTGACGGGGAGCAGAGGGTAGGCAGAGCTCAGGCAGTGATGTGAGTGACGTGGGGAAGAGGGTAGGCAGAGCTCAGGCAGTGATGTGAGTGACGTGGGGAAGAGGGTAGGCGGAGCTCGGGCGGTGATGTGAGAGACGGGGAGCAGCTATAAATACAGACGAAGCTTGACTCACTCGCACACGGCTCACCTCCTGCCGAGCGGCCCCCAGTTCCTAAGCTTCATGGAAGACAGTGTTTCCATGTGGGCGTGGGGGTGGTGGGGCTCTAAGGCCCGTCTCTAACAGGCCACAGACTTGGGGTTGGGGACTGCAGTGACAAGGCACCTGACCAACAGCCCAGGACCCAGCCTCAGAACGTCCCACCATGGGACAGCAACCCATATACTCCCTAGTCATGGGGTAGAAGCTTCCCGAGCAGGATGATGGGGACCCCAGCAGTCAGACCACAAGCCCAGACAGGACTCGGCCCTGGGCCTCCTCACTCAACTGCTTCAACAAACTGGGAGAAAAGCGCAGACTGGGAAATCCCTTGTGGTTCTACAGTACATCAATATAAAGACATTATAAGTCAGTTAATTGTCAAAAGTGACCAATACAAGTTTTAAAATTATGAAAAACGGCAAATGTAGAAACTTAATACAAGTCTGTGAGGCACTTTTTAGATTTTAAGCAGAAAATTCATATAAAAATAAGCAAAAGTAGCAAGCAAACACTTGTGAAAATGTTCAATTTTGCTAATAAAAAATGAAGTAAAAATGAAAATAGTAAAACTAAATAAAAATTGGAAAACCTATGCTGGCAGATCTGTGGAAAACAAGTATAAGCCTATATTATCACTGGTACTGTGAACTGGTATCTCTAGATATTCATCTGGAAACAGAGTAATAAAGCTTGTCTTCACACAGGCCATCCTACAGGCGGGGCACTGCATGTGGTAGGCACCTTAGGTGATTCGAAGATGAGTTAAATGTGGACCTTGCCTCAAAGAGAAAGATAAGTAGCAAAAGGATTAAGAGAGCATATAAGTGGCTGTACTGCAAGCTAAAAACATTATGAGGTAGGTTATATTACCCCCATTTGACAGAGGAAAAAACTGAGGCCCAGCCCCCACAGTTGTAAGTGGCAGAACCAGACTCAGTACCAGGCGAGTTTGACTCCAGAGCCCAAGATCCTCCCACCGTGCCAAGCTGAGTTTGTCCTAACGGAGGTAAAGATGGAAACTGAGAGGCAGAACTGATCTCTTCCTTCAGCTTCCCAGCACTGTGACTTGCACTAGTTCACTCCACTCCCTCCTAAACATGTGCTGTGCCCGCCATGCTGCAGAGCAGGAAAGAAGGCAGACAAGGCCCCGAGCTCTGAGAGATCACAGCCCCATCTGACGCAATTCTGCTTTCTCAAGTGCAGGTCATGCACTAGACCACGCTCCTTGAGGGACGGCCAGTGTCTTATTCATCTTCGGTTCCTAAAGCCCTCGGTGCCTGGCCTACATGAAGCGCTTGTCAATGTTGGCTGCCTGTCCGTGCAGAGGAGGTGAGCCTGCTTCAGCCTGGAATCTGGGATCGAGACTGTTTCATGCAGGTTGGGGCACTGAAGCTCACCCTTGAAAGATATGGGGTATGGAAATTCAGAATAGAGAGAAAGGACGTTTCAGGCAGGGAAACCAGTAAAGCAAATTACTGGAAAAGAAAGGAGCATGAAGTGGACACATGGAGGGGCTCAGTTTCAGAAAAGTATGGGTGCTTGAGGATAAGGAGTATGTCTGAAGAGAAAGGTTGAGAGATGACCCTAGAAGACCTATGACCCAGCAGGCTCAAGCACTTGGAAACTTACCACAAAGAAAATCATTCAAAATCTATACGGATACAAATTGATCTACAGATTCGATGCCATTCCTACCAAAATCCTAGTTGGCTTCTTTGCAGAAATTGACAAGCTAATGCTAAAATTCATATGGAAGTTCAAAAAACCCAAAATAGCCAAAACAATCTTGAAAAAGAACAAAGTTGAAGAACTCATACTTTCCAATTTCGAAACTTGTTACAAAACAACACTAATCAAGACTGTGTGGTACTTGCATAAGGGAAGACACATAGACAGAAGAGAACTCAGAGTCCAGAACAGAAATAAACCCTCACGTTTCTGCTCAACTAATTTTTGACAAGGATGACAAGGAAGTTCAATGGGGGAAAGAATAGTCTTTTCAACAAATAGTGCTGGGACAACTGGATAGTCACATGGAATAGAATAAAGTTGGACCCCTACCTCATACCATACACAAAATTAACTCAAAATGGATCAAAGACATTAAGTGTAAGAGCTAAAACTCTTATAAGAAAACATAGGCATAAATCTTGGTGACCTTGAATTAGGCAGTGGTTTCTTAGATGTGACACTAAAAGCATAACAACAAAGGAAAATACAGATAAGTGGAACTCCATCAAAATTAAAAACTTCTGTGTCTCAAAGACACCATTAAGTGAAAAGAAATTCCACAGAATGGGAGAAAATTTTTGCAAATCATATATATGATAAGGGACTTACATCTAGAATACATTAAATATTTTTGCAACTCAATAATAAAAAGACAACGCAATTACAAAATGAGCAAAGGAAAGAATAGATATTTTTTCAGAGGAGATATACAAATGGTCGAAAAGTACATAAAAAGATGCACAACATCACTAGTTGTAAGGGAAATACAAATTAAAACCACAAAGAGATACCACTTCACACACACAAAGATGGCTAAAATAAAAAAGACAGATAATAACAAGTGTTGACGAAGATGTGGAGAAATTGGAACTTGCATACACTGCTTATGCTGGGAATGTAAAATGGTGCTGCTCCTTTGAAAAATAGTTTGGTATTAACAGTTCCTCAAAAACATTGAGTTATCATATAACCCAGCAATTTCATGCCTAGGTATATACCCAAGAGAAATAAAAACATATATCTGCACAAAAACTTGTACACAAATGTTCATGGCAGCATTATTCATGATAGCCAAAACTGGAAACAATCCAAGCATACATCAGTTGAATGGATAACCAAATACATGGATATATGTGGTCTATCCATATAACAGAAGATGATTTGGAGGAATCAAGTACTAATACATGCCACAACATGGGCCAACCTTGGAAACAGTATGCTAAGCGAGAGAAGCCAGTCATAAAAGATCATATATTATATGATTCCACTTATATGAAATATCCAGAATAGGCAAATCTACACAGAAGGTACATTAGTGGTTGCCTAGGGCTGGTGGGGTTGGGGGGGTGAGGGCTGTGGAGAAATGGAGGGTACAGGGCTGCTTTTTGGGGGTGATATAATGTTCTAAAACTGACTGCACTGACATTTGCACAACTCTATGAATATACTGAAAAACACTATACACTTTAAATGGGTGAATTGTATAGCATGAGAATTATATCTTAATAAAGCTGTTACCAAAAAAAACATCTTTACATAAATATTAGTATATAAATCTGTCTGTAAAAGGTGCTTATACACATGCTTTTCCAGCATGGCACTGTGGTTAAAAGTGTGGCTGGAGCAGACACAAGTCTACTTATGTATGTGCCCTAGTCACTCCCCAGTTCTAGATGTGTGATCTGGGCTAAGTTCTTTAATCCCTAAGTAGTTACTGCGCCTCATTTTTTCTCATATGCAAAATGGGTATAACAACACCTATCTCTAAAGAGGGGTCTTCTGAAGATTAGATGAAATGAGGCATGTAAAGCATTTCTCAGAGGGGCCAGCATGTGGGAAACACATGCTAAATATCAGCCGCTATGATAATTACACATAGTAATAAACAACAAAAGGCCCTCCAATGTCCAAATGTGAGGACAGCATCAAGAAAGACAGACCATGCTATACGATGGGACCGACTTGTTTGATTAAAATAACAGTCGCGTGGGGTCTATTAGGTATGGAAACTCTGGTCTATGCAAAATGCCAGGAAGAAAGCAAAACAGTGGGTCCATACGAGGCTATGAAAAAATAAAGTAAAAATGACAAAGCATGAGATACAGAATTTCATAAATGACCCATGTGCCACACAGAAAGGACTCTCTGTATTTGTTTTTTATTCACTGCTTCACTGTTGTGTATATCTGAGAGTTGGCTGACAAATAATTAAAAATAAAACAAGTTATGTTACATCCAAAAGAGGAGGCTCAAATATCCAGAGGTTTTCCAGCACGATTTGGTAACTGGGGTGCAGGAACCTCGAGCACTCCCACGTCCTGAAGCAGCTTCCAATTCATCAGCTATTTGCTTCTGCTCAGGGCGGCTGAGTGGTCAGAACATTTGGTCAAATTAGAATCCTGTGGGCTCTGGTTTGCAGTTTTTCTGGTTCTTACATCTCTTGTTTGCTCTCAGGGCCAAAGACGGGCACGTCACTGTACCTGCAGTCCTTGGATATCTTTTGGTTTTTTCTCCCCTTTGCCAAGACCCACGAGCAACCCCAGAGGAAGGACCACAGACAGACTAAGCCGGTCCCACCGTCCCGTTCCTGAGCGGGCCGGGGCAGCTGGGAGCACCTAAGAGAAAGGGACGTTCTGCTCATTTACACACCGCGACCCAGAATATCCGCAAACTCCTCGGAGAGCCTGGCCGGACACACGTCAAAGCAGCAAGTAGGGCTTATTCGTGGGCGCAGTGAGGCCTCCCAAAATGTTTCTGAAGAAAAATGCACGTAGAAAATATCTGCAACTCTGCCTGGAGGAAGGAAACTCTCCCAGCGATGAGTGTGCTAAAGGGTGACTCACGTGTGTCCACCGTCTCCTGAATCGGGATGAAGCCCACAGGCAGCGTGTCCTTGATGTCAATGAGCTTCATATCCACTAACACGTTCCCCAAATGGCTCTTGGAAAGAAAGGAAAGAGACACAGACTATTAACCCGAAGGAGCCTGCAGTAGGGCTGCCATTTTGGCTTCGAGATGCATATTTAACACAGCGACTCGTGCAGCTTTATGACAGCAGGTTAATTAGAGGAGACGACACTTAATGTTCCCCAGTGGTTACATGGGGACTCGGGTGGCTCCCGGGAAGGAGCTTGATCTGTGGAGCCTCAAAGTCACTCACCCAGACGAGGCCTTGGGTAGCCAGACGGCGACCCAGGAGACACTTTGGACACAGCCCAGCAGGGGGCAGCTGTGCGCACGTGTCCCGGCACCAGGCTGCCACTCGGCCCGAGCACCAGATCTCAGGGACAGTAGGTTTTAGAAAGGGCAAATTCCCGGGGCACTTGCCATAGGGGAACAGCTGCGTGCAAACCTAACAAGGAACCAATCGGGCTCCTAAGTGATCACCAGCCTGCAAGCTGACACACATCTCAGTTGCTAGATACATTTTGCAAAATCCCAGGAATCATAAACTAATACAGAGCGAAAGCCCTGCTGCCTCAATATTACGCATCTTCTAAAATGACACGCACAAGGGCCTCCTAAAGTTTCTATTTACTGGTAGTATATGGGGTCCACGGTGCACAGTTTCTGTAACTGGCGTAAAAATATCTTTCCAAGACAGTACCCCACTCTGTAATTGCGAGAGAGAATTCTTTGCAAACACACCGACACTTGAAGCCGCACTTTCAGTTGGAAACGAGCTCAAAAGATATCTATGCTACAACTTAAATGTGTGGGGCCACCTTGGAGATTTCATTAAAATCTTCAGAGTAATTTTCAGCTTAGTGCTCCCTTTCTCTAGACAAAGCCAGTTAAGGTAAGAATTATGGGTTCCCATCCCAAATCTCTCCTGTTAGGATGCTATCGATGCATTTGCATACCCATTTTCCAGAAGTGCCTCATCCCGAAGCCCAGCATGAACTCTCAGTTTATTTGATCTGCATCCCTGGACTTGTTCTGTGTCTAGCTGGTCAGTCATCCCTCTGCCCTTGGCAGCAACTTCTCAGGCCGTTGTTCCCGCCTTGCTTAGAGAAGAGGGGGGTTCACCTCCATCTCTGTGCATGGGGAGCCGAGACCCCCACCTCCACCTGTGCCGTGCCAACTCTGCCACATCTCTGAAAGCTGAACGCCAACCAAGGAACTCTTGACATCCAAACTGTGCTGTGTTCCCTCTTGGCACTCTCTTTTTTCCTTCATATCAATTTATAATTGTATGTTTGTGAGATGACTTGCTTAATATCTGTCTCCCCACTAGAGTTTAAGAACCATGACCAAAAATATCTCTGTTCTTATTGTAAATCCAAGCCTAGCATAGTTTTGCCACACAGTAGGTACGAAATAATTATGTGCTGAATAAATTAATTTTGCAGGTACATTTTTCAACTGGGTGGGCCACTCAGAGAGTCAGAAATCAAATTGGATTTGCTTGGATGGCAAATTTTTACTATATAAATAAAAATTTTGAAAGTATATTTAATAAATACATTATGAACCAAACATATACACGTGAAATGAATTCATTCTTAGAATTCAACTAGGAAGGTCAAAATGGCACGTGTAACCTATGGCCAACGTTTTTACGGCACTGCTATCAGAAAACCATTTCTTTCTCTAAGGCTACTGTATTTGTATTTGCCGAGAATTTAATATTATGACATTTCAGGTGGCTGGGCCTCTGGAAGACAATGTCCAGTGCAGCGAGTGTGAAGTGGAACCCTCCCAAATGCGGAATAAACCTCTGACCGCGTAGGAAGCGTCTGAACCGTTAACCTAACTCTCAAACGTCGGCTGCTTTCAGAATCGCCTGATCTAATCTATCATAATTTTTTTTTCATGGCAGTTGCTTTTCCATGTCATCACCGCTTTCTGCATTGAGAAATTAACAACTGGGCATGTTTTCCTGCCCCGTAGATGGATGGGCATTCATCAATATCCCTCTCAAGTGTCTTCTACTTGACACATTGGGTTTTACAGAAGTCAACTGCAAACCACTTAGCGACCTCGCCCTCCACACTCTCTACAAATGTCCCTGATCATAAAACCAGAACATCAGTGGCGCAGCCATTAAAAAAAAAAAAAAAAAAAAAAGCATCAAAAAACCCTCCCACGCATACAAAACGGAGGCTGTACCGCCAGAGCTCCCCGGAGCCCAAGTGTGGTCCTTCCTTGCACAGGGGCTGCTGCTGTACTAAGCTTGATACAGTAGGTCTGTGACACCATTAATTCTGCCTGTTCCTCTCCCCTCCCCCATCCATGCTCGCTTTCATTTCCTCCTCATAAATATGAAGAACGTATTCCCAATCCTTGTTGAGCAAATGATTCATGCCAAAAGCCCAATATGCACTGACTCAGGGTATTTATATTGTCTCTGGTAGCCAGTATTTGCTAGTATACTGTAATTATTTTTGACAACCTTGCATTTAAGGTAGCCACAGATAACCAACTTAATATTCAAATGTTCATAAATCCTTCTGTTTAATATCCTCCCTACCTAATCTATGTACATTATTATTACAGGTAATGCAGAAAGTACAGGGCATGAAAAGTGCAATTAATCTCGATCCTTCCCCAGGAAGCAATGTCACTCCAAAGCCAGGTTTCTATATTAATAGCATGATTGGGGGAAAGGAATTTAGGTTCCAAAGGAGTCTCCCCAAACTCCTACATTGGGAGTCTCAAGTCACCTAATTAAGAATCTGTCTAGACCTGAGATCCTACATCCCTCCTTTGCAGTTGTAAAAAATTGTGCTCTGCAAAGTCCTGGCTCAGACTGCAGGGCCAGGACAGACTGGCTGCAACAGATTAAGAAACGATTGCTACTCCACCCCTGGGCACTGCCACCCACTTGAACCCGATTGTTTGGATCCCACCAACAGACACTTTTTCATTCTTTTTCTGAAAACAAAATGCACCTGCTTCCCACGCTGCCTCAAAAGCAAAGCAGAGGTTTCTCCCACTGCCTGTGTCCTTTTCTTACCTTTTCTTTGATCTCTTCACCACACCCATGGGTACACTTCCCCATGATGCCCAACACTAACAAGCCCCAGTGACTTCTCTTTGTCACGTTCAGACCTGTCACTGTTCCCACTCCAAGTGGTGCAGGGACTCTTCTGTCCTAGAGTACCAATACCCCACAGTCTTTGGAGGAGAATGCAACAACAACAAAAAAAGAACAAAAATCAAAAATGATCATGAAGATTGTGGCTATCCTCTGAGGCCATTTTTAACTGATGCCTCTTTGCTCAGGAAAGATGAAAGCAGAGTAGAGATCGGGAATGAACACCGGGAGACCACTGAGGGGAGAGACAGTGTGAACCGAAGCTTGTTCAAACCCTCGGGAGTCCCTCCTGGCAGCCTCGAGCTGCAGTCAACACGCTGACCTTCTGCAGAAAGTCATAGCCAGCAGACAGAAGAGAGGTGACAAAAGCTAGAAATGGTCTCAGAAAGAGTTTAGGTGAGCTCAGGGACACAGGGACTAGGAGAGAGTGCTGTGTGGGTGCAGGCAGGAAGGAGGGGCCCATGTCTGGAAGGCGCCGTGGCCTTCAGCCCTGCTCCTTGGTGTCTCCTGAGGCCACACAGGGAACCCAGGGACCTGCACAGACTCGTTCCAGGCCCCCGGCGCGGGGGCCGTGCTTCGGCTCACCTGCCACCTTCGTGGTATTTAAAATCCATTTGAAGGCCTGATTGAAAAGATTTCCAGTGTTTAGTGCCAGGATACTCCCCGAGTCCCCTGTGAACTCTGTACTTTGCAACGAGCATAAATGGCTCTTGTAATTGGTGGAGAAAATTAAAGCAATGACTTCTCCCCCAGTCCTGAATATGTTCAGAATAATTCCCCAAACAAAGAATTATTAACAAATGCCAGGAACAGGTGGTGAGAGAGAGGGCAAGCCAGAGAGCCTGGTGACGGGTCTACATTTGGAAAATGCTGAGGGGCCACCTGGGGACCCAGTGACGAGACCCTGAACCCATGGGGCAGTGTGACAGAGAGGGAGACTGTGACTTTTCCCCTTTCATGTTCCTAATGAGGATGTTTAAAGTGGTTGTTTTTTGTCTTTTTAACCCACAAACATATACTACTGTTATAATAAAACTTATAAAAATAAATTAATAAAAGTATCTCCAAAAGTAAATATTTGCATTAGAAAGACAATAACATTCAGGGCAAAAATAAAACATCAGCCCCGATGACGAAAACCCGAACTGCTCCGCCCTTGGGACTAGGGAAGACAGGTGGCCTTGGAGGAGCATGTCACCTCCCAGATCCCAGTTTCTTCAGGAATGGGAAGGAGGCGAGGCCTGCAGAGATGGCTGAGAAGGGGACGAGGCCACGTGCAGAGTCCTGGGACAGCTCTCACACGGAGTGGTGCTCGCTAACGCTACTCCCCTTTGTTCTAAGCCACCCACTAAAACACCTACTTGGAAAAGCCTTGGTAGACGTCTTTAAAGTTTCCTAATTTATGGGCACGAGTATTTAAAAAGCAGCACACTAAGAGAAATCTATACAAGCGGATACCTACCTACAAAAATAATGAAATGTGGTAGAGATGCACAGAGAAAGAAAGAGTCACTCTGGAAACAAGGCCGCGTCTGTGCACCAGGGGGACCAGGTGGGTCCTCCGTTGAGTCACGCTGCCCTTTGTTGGCCAGCATCAAGTCCAGATCCCCTGCAAAACTCTCACATCCGTGCTCCCCGTGATTTGTTGCTTAGAGGAAACGCAGGCAAACGAGAGCTGGGAGAGAAATTTCCTGGTTTCCTTTTGAGAACACATTTTAATGGCATTCACTGTACACTTGGGTACGTGGTTAATAATACTGTTAATAAATGAAACACAGCGCTAGCTGCTAATTCTACCCAGTTCACTAAAACCACAGATAAATTAATATGGCCATGAAAATAAACCACAACAACAACAACAAAAAAAAAATGAGGAGATTCCAAACAGGAATGTAAATTACTTGTGCTCACTCGGCAAACGGAAGCCGCTACTGGACTTACATTTTCTTTGGAAAATGATCTTGTGAAACACAGGTATCTGGTAACCTTGGATTTAAATAAGCCGTCTTTCCAGAGGTCAGCATCCACACCATCTGCCGTCTGCGCAACCTGCACCGAGGAGACAGAGAGAAGGATGGCAGGTGAGGCGAGACGGAGCTGAAGGTGCCTGAGCCGCTCCTTCCAAGCCCGTCCCAATTAACACCGGCCCGGACGCTCGCAGCATCTCATTAGTTCATTTCACTCGGCGCGGGGACGAGAATTTCCAAAAGGGGGAAAAAGGGAGAGTGTGAAAAATACAACTTCTAAAAATATTGTCCCTGGGGAAGCCATTGATTAAAGACACCCTGACAAAAATGGTTCTAATGAGAAAAGAGCAACTTTTGTTGTAATGGACCAAGAAGGGATGGGATAAGTCAGCACATTAAGCTGCTCATTACCACTTACTCGGGGGAGGGGGGATGGTGCCTGCGAGGACAGACGTCCAGGGGGGTGTGAAATGCCACCTGAGAGGGGCCCGGCTTTTGGGGGGGTTGCCCCTTCTTGTTTTGGGGTTGGGGGGCTTCCGTCAGTGGGTCTCTGCTGGGGCAGGGCGGGGCGCCCACCTGCCTGTTCCCCGTACAAGCCCTGAGAGTGGCATTCAAGGTCAGAGACTGGACCAGGGCAGGAAAATAAAAGGCGACTCAGCTCCTTGCTCCTCGCCTCACTAAGAAGCCATTTTCTCACACACAGCTGTGGAGAGTCTCCTCTAGGAAACCGAGGAGGCGGCCAGCCTTGATCTGAGCCCCGCAGGCCCTGCGTGCTGCGCCGGGGCGGGGACGTTGGCGACAAGGGCCAGGCCTCGTGGGGCAGACGCACGGGGACCGTGCAGAGGAGGGAAAAGGCTGGAAGCCCGTGGTGCTTTCCTCCCACTTCCTCCAGACTGCCCTGTGCGCAGCTGGTCAGAGCCTGGCCCACTTTGTCACTCGGCGTCCCCACGAGAGCACGGGCTGACCCTCCTCGACTGCCTTCGCCAGCAGGTGCCCCAGCGAGCCGGCATCCAGGAAGACTGCGGGGCTTCACGCGGCTTGCTTTCTGCCTTCTGGAGCTTTAGACCTCGGGACACCCCCGACCTGGCGAGCTCCTGACCCCTCCGGCAGCCCCACCCTCCCACCTCCCTGGGCCGCAGGGCAGGGCCCCGGGGCGGGGACCCCAGGACATTCCTGGGCCCACCACAGCCACGCTCTCTGAGGCTGCTCAGAGAAGCCTACAGGCCAGTGGGCAGAAGAAAAATGCTTGCCTTTCACGCCAAACAATCGTAAATTAGCAAACATAGCATGGGGAAAAGAAAGGCCCTTATGCTGGATATGCAAATATATTAGACCTGAACGCTGAGGGAGGAATGACACGCGGACAATTTTAGGAACTGTTTGCCCCAAGTGTGCTGCCCCCACAGGAAGAAACACGAGGGAACAGGGAACGGGCCTTGTCAGCACTTTTCCCACAAGAGTCACATAAAGTTTCTAGGAAAACAGGAGATTTAAGGTAAAGGTCTCAGCTTCGCCACTGCCAACAACCCCTCTCGCTTGTTGTCTCCCATGGAGTCCATGTTTTGAAAGATTTTTGACTCTCAGAGTGCACTTTTGACTGTATTTCCTCAGTTAGAGGATGCGGTCATTTGGGGAATCAGCAGTGGATTTAAGGAGCAGCCTTTACACACACGCGCACACACACACACACACCACACACACACACACACCCCATACACACGCATGGGCACACACACACACACGAAAACGTACACATCTATTGTAAGATGCATCCCAAGTTCAGAATCATTAAAGTGTAAAATTAAGATACTTCAAGAACAAAGGAATAAGGGAATCTATAGGGTATCTATATTAAAGGCATCGTTTCTGAGAAACTTTCACAACTAGAGACCATCTGCAGGATACTCCCGGCCGTGGAACCTCGGGCTGGCCTGGGGACAGAGCTGTGCCGCCAACCTTCCTCTGGACGAGGGAGAGAGTCCGGGAGGGCTGGCCTGGCTCTCTGGAGATCTCACACTGGGGAGGAGAGGGGGCATTCTAACCCAAGCCACCTCCTCCAGGGTCGCTCTCCACCTGCCCCATTGCTAGAATCTCCTCCTTGCGGAGTGAGAAGACACCTTGATACGAAAACATAATGGGAAAAAGCCCGCCATGCAGGCCGGCCCCCATAGCACCACCTGGCCCCACGTCTCCGCTCTGGCAGTTAGAGCCCTACAACCCTTGTCTGAGAAGCGCTGCACGACCACAGGCCCAGATTTGCCCTGCGGCCAAAATGCATTTGCAAGGAAGTGAAAGTGTGTCAGGGAGCCCATCCTTCTGCTGAGCCGGGGAGGTGAGGAGGGAGAAGAGAGAGACCTGCTCACACCCCAGGGGAGGCTCTGGAAGCCTGGCCCTGTGTGCTGGACAGCACAGAGATCGGAGATGGACACCACCAGGAACTGGACAAGGAGTGAGATACCGGTCCTGGCTCCCCAGGACCATGGGGGAAGCGGCCCAGGTGGAACAAGGCAGCACTTCCAGCCTGCCTTCCCTACAGCAGTAAGATGTACCCAGAAGCTTCTTCCCAACCCAGTCACATACAGGTGCTTAATAATCTAAATTCTTCCCAAGTCAGGGGAGCTAATGATCTACAAGACGAATGACCCCTGAAGGCAGTGGCTGCAGTCACAGTCACAGGAAGAGGAGCCCCAGGCCCTGACCGTGCCCACACCCTCCCCAGGTGCAGGAGCTCACAGACCCAGTGGCCAGCCTCGGGTCCAGGGTCGGGAAGGCCGGGGGCTGTGGGGTGGGAGGTGGGGGACCAGACGCTCCCTGTGCGGCAGGGGCAGCCAGATCCAGAGGCAGGCCCAGACCTGCACCCAGTGGCTCAAGCAAGTCCCACCCTCCACTGCGAAGTGGAGGTGCTGCCCTCCCCACGGGGGTCACTGTGGGATCAGAGGAGACGATGCACATGCAAAGCACCCACCTGGGCACGAGCACTCACAAAGACAGCGCTGACTCCTCTAAACTAAAAAGGAGGCCATGTGGCCAGATACTGCCAAGTCTTTAAAGTGATGTCAGGCTGCATCAGAATTCAGAGGTCTTCATCTGTCCCTGGGGGGCTCAGGGCCAATCTCCGGGACTAAATCTGGTCTTTCAAACGCAAAGGAACAGGTGTGTGACTCACGTTACCTTCCCTGCTATCCCACCTGGGTATGGGCTCCACAAGGCCAAGCACAGGGCCAACGCAACCTCGCTGAAGCAATGGGTGAACAGTCAGCTCTTCACTCAGCGCCGTGTGAAAAGCCACATACCCTGCCAGCTACCCAACAGGGTAAAGAGAATTCTTTTAAAATGAAATTTCCAGGATTTATTCCACTGAGCTGAGTGTATCCCCTTCAAAATACCCCTCTGCGAGGCACATACCCATTTCGACACTGAGGCCACTACTCTTTTGGTTGTCTCATTTGTTCCCTGCCTTGTTCCCGAGACGACATTGTCTGCTGCTGCTGACTGCAGAACCTCCGAGTCTGTCATGGGGCCTCATGTACATGCATGCACATGCACGCACATACACATACATGCACACGTGCTCACACTCTCACAATCCTTCTCTCTCTCTTGCATTTCTTCCCAGGTGCAGGAGAGGAGGAGGAGGAGGAGGAGTTGGGGGCAAGAGGAGGAGGGGGAGGAGCCACCTGTAACCAGGCAGAGGCAGATGAACACATGGCTTATCTCTCTTCCCTGCCAATATTCTGCTGAAACAACAATCAAGTGGAGAAAGTGCTAAAATGAAAGCCAGAGGGGAGAGTACCACAAGAGAGGGGCCAGAAAATGCCTGGGGCTGTATGCTAGAAGGTATGGCCTGCAGGGCCGAGTGCTCAGGGAGGCTGACTCACCCCTCAACCCCCCTCAACCCAGGGCCCAGAGTCAGCAGATACCACTGGGGGGCAGAGGCACAGGGGTGGGTGTAAGTTTAGGGCTGAATGGGGCGGACTGAAACAAGGTCCATCAACAAAGTAGTTAAACTCCCAGGTCCCCACCCCCATTTCAGGTATATTTTCTGCAGAAAGGAAACTAGCAAGGTGCAGGCCTACACAACACCAGACCGGTGGGGAAGGAGGTGCTGACTTCAGAGTGAACACAGGGGGTTAAGCATACACACTGAAAGGCAGCCCCAGACTCCGGGGACTCTCACTACACAGCGCAGCTCCCTGCTCACACCCCGCCAGCCCCCCCCTCCCCTCGCAGCTGTAGCCTGCCCAGAGCCTTGATCTGAAACACAAACCGACAACAAAGGGTCACCAGGCGTTGGGGGAAAGGCTCCAACATGAAAGAATGACCCGAAATAGAAAAAAGGGAACCTGAAGGTTGCACAGAGGCCAGGAGGAAACAATGAAAGCTCTGGAACAAACAACCAAGCCTGTAATTAAAATCCTTTCAGGGCCGAGTGAGTATACTGCAAACACCAAACAAGAACAGAATACTGAGAAAACTTTCTTTTAAAAAGGAAAAATTTGAGAACAATATAAAGAGATTAGAAATTGAAAAGTTATAGCTAAAATTAAAAATTTAAAAAAAATCAATACGCTTGAAGCTCTTACTCGAGGGGGGAGGGGGGCAAGGGCAATATATGTAACCTTAACACTTGTACCCCCATAATACGCTAAAATAAAGAAAAATGTTAAAAAAAAAAAAAAAAGCAACTTGCTCAAGACCAGCTTGGGCAACAGAGGGAGACCTTGTTTCTGGGGTGGGGGGGACTGGAAGAGAAAGTTGAGGAACTCTTTCAGAAGGCAAAATACAGAACTATAGGCAAGAAAAACTAAGAAAACTGGAGGGTCAGCACATCATCCAACAAAAGTTCCAGGAAGAGCTTTTAAAATAAAAAATGATGAGAAGGGGAGCCTCTGTGTTCCGGGAGTCCTGAGAGTTCCCGGACCCGCCCCAAAGAGAAACAACAGAGAATCTCCCCAAACCAGGGATAGAGAAACCACCTTACTTTAGAGAGAAATGACAGGTCACAGACAAACGGACCAGGACCACCGTCCGTTAGACTTCTCAATCACAACACCGGACACTAAAAGACAAGACATCTTCAAA